TACAGATTGCAGAAAGGTAGTCTTCACGCTTAAAAGATGTCTTTATTAATGTTGTAAATGCTAAGTTTAAATCTCAAGGTATAAAAGGCTCTTCAATTGCAGTTATTGAGCATTTAAAAAAGTATAATATGATAGAAGACTAAAACTTTGAACAATAAGATTGTATGCAAAAATATTGGACTAAAACATCTTAACAGCGGTAAGAGACAAACCAGATTTTTTTCAAAAGAGACAGTTAAAAATCTAAGGAAGTGGTGTTGATAAAGGCTCAAATTGTTATCTAACAACAACAAAAAATCTCTTCTGCTTCAAAAAACATTCCTTATTGGAAATGTTCTGTAATGTAAATTTCCTGCACTTTCTTCTGAATCTGCATTCTTCCTACATAATTACATGTCACTTAGGGCATGAACATGTGTTCACCATCTCTGTTGATCATGTTATGCTGTTTACCAAAATTGCTACCTTGATGTGTTTCTATAACTGAATTTTTACAAGGACAGATTGTGGACCTATTGCTTAATTTCCAATATTAAGGGCCAAAGGACTGCTTTTCATCTGGTGCTCACCCTTTGAGCTGTCCAGCTTGGGTGGCACTGTCAGGAGTTAAAACTTCTGCTGACAGAGTGCTTAGGGTCACTGGGACAAATGCTTTCATCCATCTCAAGGTGTAATCCTCACGGAAGACTGGACTTGCTTAGAACACTCACCCTTAAGAATGTTACCAATTACTCCAAACAGACTAAATTCAGAATGAAAAATCTGACTGTGCTACCAAGAGAGAATTCAAAAGTAGTCAGGAAGAACATAACCACCAAGAAGTACAGAAAATAAGAATATTAAAACTGATGAGTTCAAGTAGGCGCTATGAGAAATAGGTACATTCCTGAAGTTCCTGGTTTTCCTAAGGATGATGAGAAGCAGAAAAACAAGTCTTATCTACTACCCAAAAGAAGAAATCTATTTGTATATCCTACGAAATCCTTCAGGAATTACTCATGTTGCCATTTATGTCTTCTACCTACATCTGAAACTTAATAAACAGAAGATGAATCAATCTGAATAGCCACCATGTCCATCTTTTCATAGAACATATGACTTAAGACATGTGTGTACAGGTTGAACCTCTTTAGTCCGTCATTCTCTGGTCTGGCAACACCGATGGTCTGGGATGATTTTAGTTAGCTGAATGTCCACTTATCATGGGTGTGGCCAAGTTTCCTGGAGTCCCATAAAGTTTGTTTACAACCACAATCCTGGATCTCAGTGTCCTGCGCTGTTATTTAGCTCTAATTTACCTCAAGTGTCTTCTAAGAGCCCAGTAAACAGTGGAAGTGTTGATAATGCTGCTAGACAATATTAACCTCCCGTGATCTGGCAAATTCTCTTCAGTACTAAGGATGTGAAGGACTAATCGACTATCCAATAAGCAAATGCCTATCAAATAGAGGCAGCAAGGGTGGGGAGCGACTAATCTGCTATCCTGTCCGCTATCAGAGAGAGGCAGCAAAAGGGGAGTGGAAAGAGGGAAGTACTACAAAGCAGCAGCGTCGCACGGAGTCTGGGGTCAGCTGCTCCATGCAGCACTACCGCTTTGAATGCCATGGGGAGCCCGGTGTCAGGCTCCTTGTGGCATTTCAAAGTGGCAGTGCCACGCATAGCTCAGGGTCAGTGGGGAAGTCTCTACCTGACCCCGGGCTTTGACGCTTTCACCTTTAAAGATGCTACACTTCAAATACAGAGGTACCCTACTGATTAACCTAATAGTTGATGCAAAAATGCATCAACTATTCAATTAGTCAATTACCGGATACTTAACATCCTTATTCAGTACAGGTTCCAAGGGTGCCAGATTAGAGAGGTTCAACCTGTATTAGAAAAGATTGATGAAGAAATTTTAATGTATATGAGTCTATATCATCAGTGAGACAGTTTCTTCAGATAAATGTCAACATCCTCATCGGAAAAATTGTTCACAATACTGTTCAATTTAGAGAATGATTCCCTAAGTGAAAGAGGAGGAAGAGATGATGGCTTGGTCTTCCCAAAAGCAGACAATGAAAAAACTACTGGTATTCTTAAATGCCTTAATGCCTTTTGGGCATGATGGAAAAACTACAAAAAAGGCTGTGCAAATGGAAGTCCAAGCAACCATAAGGACAAAATAATGAAATTGATCCAAGAAGAGCTCTTTGATGTGGGGCAGTGCATCAAGGTGTTGCTTCCTACTCTCATTTGATGAAGCTAATGTCAACCATGTCAGCTCTTGGATCAGCCATCAGAGCCATGATATCTGCATTTTTCTTCTTTAGTCTAGAAAGATTTGGCACTGCCCACAGAAGGAGGCATCTCCTTAGTACACTACTTCAAGTACCATCATCAGAGTTGAGATCTCCACTCAACTTAAAGCAGCTTTCTTCTGAGGGAGTTCAAGGCAATAATAGGAGATTTGGAATTGAGGCACTTAGTGAGGAGGACACCATAATATCCAAAGTGCAAAGACCCCCCCCATGCCTCATTTGAAGAAACCAATCTTAAGAATCATAGCTTCTCTTTCTAAAGAGTACCATTCATGCTAGTTCTGAAAAGAATCCTTAGGAGAGTTCCTTCTCTTCTTGAGAATGATTCAACACCCCTGGAAAAAACATGTTCACATGTATCAAAGGCCTTAAAGTATAGGCCACAGCTGTGAGAAGCCTTAGAGTACATCTCTGAGAAAATACAGCACTGTATAAACTTCATAAACTCAAAGCATCCCATAGTTGAGGAAGAACAACAAGGTTTCAGTGGTTCCTGGGGAAGATCATATAAAAGAAGCTTTTGATGTTTCTAGAATCAGCAGACTGGGATCAGAAGCTGTATTCTTCAAGGACTAAGCACCAAATACACTTTAGTTTATGTTACTTATCCTGAGAGATAAGCCATAGAACTTAGAGCAGCCTCTGGGGAATGACCCACTCTCAAGCACAGGAAACAATGGATATATCTGTCTGTAGTGAACATCTTCACTTTGGAGTACAGACACCAATTAAAGCCTGTGCACTTGTTCTTGTCAGCCATACAAAACCAGGAGGCAAGAACTAGAACCAAGAATCAGCCAGAAAAACTGCACTAAATGAACTCATATCTCATTACCTTGGAGATGTAACACACAAGTTTTTACATACAATGCCAGCAAAGTTACCAGAAAAATTAATGAAGAACAAATCTACACTTATCTTAAAAACTAAGTATACACAAAACAATTACAATGCAGTGACACAACTCCACTAAGATGATTAAGTACCCACAATGAAGAACTAACATAGTGGCTTGGTCTATGAATCCTGTTTTACAATCTTGTTCTGAATATCTGAGTGCTGCAGAAATCTGTTGATGCAACCCCAAAATACACTGCTTTTCTAGATGGTTCTCCATTAAATGCCTTGGGCAATATCCCAAGAGCTGGGATCCACAGAGGCAATTCTTGATGAAACAAAGGGTTAGGAAATAAATTGAAAGCACTTTTAAATGAAGTTAAAATATTAGTAGAAGAGGTGTAGCAGCTTAGCCATTCTGAAAAGCATTCTCTTCAATCAAGAGTATATTAAAATCAGATTAAGAGGGGATACCTTTGAAGAGAGCACATATTTTTCTCCATATGCTGATCATCTGCAATGATGCATAATGTAATGTGACAAGACTCAAATTTATCACTAAATAAAAGATTTTTAAATGTTTTATTAATTCCAGTTATAATCATTAAAAGGCCACAACAAAATTTAGTTTAGAAACCTGTTCTGATGTATTTAACAAAATCTAAACAAGGGGAAAATGTGTGCTCTCTCTGGATGGGAGGTTAAGTCTGCATTTGTTAATACCCAAATTTTGTGCCAACTAAAACAGAACCCAGTCCAGATGTTGCTTCAAACATGTCCAGTTGCAACTGTGTTATAAAATAATTTCAACAAGGCTTTTCTCTGACATGTTTGCTAAATTAGCACCAGGCTTTAAAAGATTTTCTCTAGGTTAGAGAGTATACAGGCTGCCTTTAAACAAAAACTAAGTTTTACCTACTCTCATTTAACATGCCTTTTTCACATAACATCTACCCCACCATCCCCCGTATCTTGTTTACAATTTCTAGATGTCAGATTTTATTCCACTGTTTAACAATTTAGCAAATGGCCTTCAAATTTAGCATGATCCCAAACATAAAAGATGACAGAGTCAAGAAGGGCTCATCCTAAAAAGGCATCAGTGGAGGGCAGACTTCAGATATAAATATTTAAATAAAAAAGGCAAAAGGAAAATTCCAAAGGTTAGTCTAGCCTCTATGGCATAGAGAACACAGGTTTGGATAAGTAGCTGCTGTATCCAGTAGTTCTCTGGAATCTGTAATGTCCAGATAAACAATGGTATTCAGATGACCAAAAACTAAGGCAACATAGAAATATGTATTTTTATCCAATCATACCATGATTTTTTTTAAAAGATACATTTCTGTTCCAATATACCTTTCATGTTAGATATGACTGGTGACAAAAACAAAGATCATGTAGTAGTTCTGTAACAATTTTTTAAAAACCCACGCATTTATATTATCTAGTGAATAGTCTAGTGCACAAGGGAAGTATCTTTTTCATCAGCTAAAATAGATCCATTATTTAATCTCTATTAGAAATTATGATTCCATCCATCAATGTAATCGTATTCTATTGCCATAATTGAGGTAACATCACAAGCAACGTTACATTATATCCTAATATAATGTCATGACTCAAAATCAGAGTAATTTAGGGATAATTTAACTTTTTCTTATAAACCCAAATTTAAAAACCCAACAACTTTGCACTCCAGATTTTAAGGATTGCAAGCAAAGTAATACTATACATTACAATTATGAAAGGTCACAGTTCATCATGGACAAATATGGATGACAGCAGTGTAAGAACCTATACAGAACAGAACAGAACTGTGAGATGATGGGAAACAACAGCATATATACACAATCCTTTTACCTTTATCTTGGACTTCTTTTGAAAATCGCTCCCTTTCAATAGCTGATTCACGTTCTATCCGCTCAATTTCAGCCAATGCATCCAATTCTACTTCATCATATGGCGTTATAGTTCCTTGTTGTGAAATCTGTTGCTGCGTCTGTACCACAGGAGTTTGAGGTTGTTTTGCAGCAACTGAAGTGTTCTGTTGTAAAACAGGCACTTGTTGTGCTTGAAGGAATGCTGTCTGTTCGTGCTGCGGCAAACACTGAGCAGCATTTAGTGGGCGGTTAACATCCTGTGGAGTAATGGGTGTTTTAGAAGTCTGTCCTGGGTACTGAACATTAAAAGGAATATCACCCTCTGAAACATTACTGTTTTCCAAACCAGAGAGCATATCATCTTGCTGGTCCATATCCGAAGATCTTACACGAGAGAGTCTTAAAGTAAGTTTAGTGGAGTCCTTGGAAGGAGAACTAATGATATCATACATTGCAGCTTTTTCAGTCTGGTCTTTTTCCTCCTTGCCTAACTTCATTTTCTTTTGTTTCTTTTGCTTTCTTTCTGGAGAATCTAACAGTATGTCTGGGGGTACCTCTCTAGGTGATGAATAAGGTGGAGGCTGAGATTGTACGATTAAAGGAGGTCTTGATCCTAGAACAATAATTCAGAAAAACTGAGCAGTTACAGTGTTTCACATTTTATATAAAACACACCAAATATAATATAATAATACCCTAAATTATTCATAATACGTATATCTACAAATATTTGTGCTTACAAAGACTAAATATATAACTAAGATGCACACTAAAACATGTCCTGGGTGCCCATATCGCTAAATTTGTTTTAGCGATCCACATCTAGTGAAGAAAGTACGACTAGAAAAAATGGTCAAAATAGCAGGTCAAGCTCCCATTCAGTAGGCCAGTCCTGGCTGGAGTGATTGCACAATCCATACCAGAACTCCTGGTGGGGCTGTTCGTTAATGGCGTCTAAGCCTTGCCCCATCACATAATTGCTCTGTCCTCTCCCGTCATGGCTCCCTGAGCAAGTGGCTTTGGGGATCACCAGAGGGGGCGGGGGAGAGGGAGACGAGTTGCAGCCACCAACAGCCTGCACTCCCTGTGACAGCAGAGGCTGCGAGGGGAGCAGAACGAGCACGCATGCCCTGTGCACTCTGCTTCCCCTGTGGCTTCTGCCGCTGAGGGGAGTGTGGGAGGGCATGACCACTGCTGCCACACAGTACCAGGCTTTCCTGGTGATCCCCAAAGCCATGTGCTCAGAGGCCATAGGGGAAGAGGAGAAAAGGCGATGGTGAGAAGGAGCAGAGGTTGTAGGCTGGTAATAAACAGCCCTCTTCCCACCCCCATCTCTGGAGTCCTGGCTGGATTGTACAATCACTATGGCTGGGACCGGCCCACGGATCAGGAGTTTGAGACCAGTGGCCTATAATTTCAGGCTAGGACATCAACTTTTAAAGATTCAGGTTAATGAAAGGGTAGCTCAGGCTATAGGAAAAGGAAGGATTGAAGGATCCAAAGATTCTCTTGGGGGGGTCCAGTGATGATAACTTAATAGTGAACTATTGAAAGACATTAGTCGCTACATCTAATCATTTCTAAATGCAATAAAAAGAAATCTTAACACACACACAGGTGACAGAAGGTTCCCTACATAAAAATATTCTTGGAAAGAAGTAGTCAGGGAGTATTTCAAAAGCCAAGTCAAAATGGATTTCTTTACTCTTTATCCCTGATTATGTCTATTTATTTTGCAACTTTCCCATTTTAGGGATGTTCTGAGTCAATTTACCTAGGGGCAATGCTTCTGCCCATAAGTGATTGAGGATATTTTCCACCATTATCTCTATTCATCTGTTCTACTTTTTCCTTCTTCCAAATTACATATTTTTATTTAAAATGCATCCACCCCAAGTTCTGAGCTCATTTGCATATATTTTACAAATAGTAACTTTTAAAAAGTGGATATTGTCTACATTCACACCTCTCCAATTCATTACAAATTTTAAAAAACCTCTCTTTTCCCCTTCAAATTGTGCAATCTCTCTTAATTCTCTGTTCCACAGAGAATAGATAAATTTTGCAACCATCAACAATTTGAACTCTACTGGTCCAGCATGGGACTGATGGTATGCAGAAGTGAGGGGACACAAAGGACCACTTGCAAAAATACCTTGCCTTGTTTAAAAATAGGGCTGTTAGCTTTAGATTACACACTTTTCTAATGATACCATGATAGCACTTGAGGAGAGGGACAGCAGTTAAGATAGCTACAATTCAAACAACTTAAACATTTATTGGTTAACACTTTGAACTGCATTCAAATGAATGCAAGAGACACTACTAAGTAAGCACAAAGCCTTATTCTGCAGGAGCTCTAAGGACAGCACACTGCAATACACAGATCCAATGATAACAAAATGAGGTATAACTGTGGCAAGGTCCACATTCACATTCAAACCTCTTTCTACAAATGTCCTTGTTTCCTTTGTCCAGGTTCTTGTGTTTTGCTCTGTCTCCAATTCATCCTGATAGGTGTTTTACAACCTCTTTACCCTAAGCATGGCATAAACTGGATTCATTTTCCCCAATCCTTTTTCCCCTTTCTCATCATGACTGTCAGTTACAATATTCTCCCTCCCACTCGAGCCTGCAATTATGAAATTATCTTTGATTCCCTTTCTCCTCACACTCAGACCCTCAAAATCTTGCACATTTCTACTTCAACTTCTCTCAAATCATCCACCGCTGCAGGGACCTGAGACAGGCTCCCTCCCTGTGTGCTGCTCCATGTGGCTCTGCTCTAGCACAGGTAAGGGGGAAAGTGGGGAGGCTTCACTTGCTATCCCTGCCTTCAGCAAAATTTCTCAGCTCATACTGGTCGGAAACTGCCCAGACTCCTTTCTCCTCCCTCCCCAGACTGCATAGAAATTAGGATCCTGCTGTTTAAAGCAGCTGCTCTATAGCAAGGGTGTTGGTGAGGCGGCCGCAGGCTGGATCCAGTGGCTTGGCAGGCTGATGCGGACCACTAGCTATCTCTTTTGCACCCTTGCTCTATGCCAAAATCCTGGCTCCTGCCAAGACTGCATCCCCTTCTGCCTTCCATCACTGACTTAGATTCCTGTGATATGACTTGAGATCCTCTTTATCTCTAGTTTAGATAATCCAGTATCTACAAGATTAATTTGCTGTAGCATACAGGAGAAAATTAGTTGATGGCCTCCTTTCTGGTAATGACCCTCTCCCACACCAGGATATAAAGGATTGTATCTCTCTTCTTGCAAATACCAGAGACTTCACAAACTTGTCCAAGGAGCTTACATTCTCCAGACATTTCTATTCTCAACCCAAATGAGTACTTCTAAAGCTGTACTGGAACATTCAATTCATACTCCTAACAATTACACTTTATTCAATGAAATTAAAAGCCTGATTCTCCATTGCCTTGTACTTTACATGAAGTATTTCTATTAGTGTCAAGTGAATATAACACAGTATCTTTCCAATTTGGTAGCATTATGTGCCTACTTTGCTCTGGGGCATGACATCTACATAAGCTATAGGGGGGGAAAAACCCAGTCAGGCTTTTTCTATTTAAAAGTAGCCAGAGGTCAAAGGATCTGAGATGAGGTGGAATGGGTTATAAGATTATTCCCAGAAAAAAAAAATCAGTTAATTCTTTTCATTGTGGATTCTGACTTCACTATCACATTTGGGATCTAGGAAGCTGGAAGGAAAGATTACTAATGAGGGAGAAGACAAATTAACAAGAATGCCCCTTCCCTAAAAAGCAGTATGTGCAACTATTTTTGGGACCATCACTTGGACCTTTGAATAGGAATGGCATTAGGACTCAACAGTGTTTTATAAAGATCTAGATGACCAAGCAGACAATTGTAGAGATTTTCTCTATGCTATCTGATGTCCTCTTCAGCCAGGATGCCACCACTGAGAAAACTAAATACGCTCTAAATCCTTCCAGGACTGGTATATTCTCAACTGTGTAGGCTTGGCAATTCCACCTGGCTATAAAGGATTTAGAAGCTGTCAGGACTAGGCATTTAAGGTGAAAATAAAATAATAAAAAGGAGGTTTTCCTGAACTGACTGGTTCTACTAAGATACAATTTAATAGCTCTTCTCACAAGCAGCATATGCCATACTCTTCTGGATGTTGCGGCTTCAAGCAAAATGATCTCCTGTCATGCCAGGAAGGCTATGTTTACATTTGGAATACTTCTGAATCATGATGAACAACCTGGCCCTTAGGAAAAATATAATAAGGTTCATGCCATAAGAACAAAGGTTTCTGGAGACATTTTTGCTAATGTGATTGTTATGAGGAAAAATGTTTTCTTAGCAAGGAAATATAAGGAATTAGATATCATCTGCTTCAATGGATAAGTGAAGATCTCAAGAAGGGAGGACAGGTTTGGTTTACGTAAGAGTGCTGGCATAATAAACTTTGACATTATGGGGTGAGCTACTAGAGACTTTGATGAATCTGACTTTACAACCATTTTTTAGTGCTGACACACAAGAATCAATGGTGGTGATGGAACTTTGGTTTAAGTCTCAGCCATCCTGTAATTCAGTAAGTGGGAAGGCCTGACTTCTTCCAGTTGACTTTTTAATTCTAATAGGATAATTTTGTCTAAGCTCTTGCGTAGGCAGAGAGGGTACAGGACTTCTGTGAGGCTAGAAGATTTTCCATTACTATGGAAAGAATAATCAACCTTATTAGGACTTGCTGCTCAACAACTGATCAGATATGCTCGAGTAATCTAGGATGTGATGCAGAAACAGGACAAAGAACAGTACATCCTGCCTGCAGGGGAGAATAAAAGAAGCCTGTGAAATATCTCCCAAACATCCAAGTACCACACCCTTTTTGGCCAATTTGGGGTAAGCATCCTTTTTTCATCTTTTTGATTATTCCTTCTTCTAGGCAAAAAGGAAAGGGGTCAGCAGAGTTTTAGAAAAGATGACTTGGCAATCTGTGAGCAAACTCTTTTACTGGTGAACTTCAGTTTGCTTTCCTTGTCATGTCTTTTGTATTACAACTGAATATGAACATGTCCTATTAAGGCATGTCTCAGATCAAACCAAGATAATGCTCTCTAAATACTAGCTTGAATACATGCAGGTTCATGTGCCATTATTAAATGTCAATCTCTGATGGTTTAAAGCCAGGCAGGCTTTGTGATTAGCATCCCTTCTGGGTTGATAACTCTAGCAAAAGTTATATAAGCTTCTGCTGAGGAGATCATCTACTTCACTATGCTATTTAAATTAAATTTCTTGTTCCTACTCCATGGTTGTCACATTTTCTAACTAAACCAGAATGTGTTCCTTTTTCAGATTATCCTGGAAAAGCTATCCACATCAGTCTCATCTCTAAAAAGGTGTTGCTCTGGAGTATGACCCTTCATCGTATTTTGTTATGATGTCCTGAGTCTGTTCCTACACCCTTAGAAGCATCAGAAATTAAGGATATAGATTGCAGAGGGGGAAATCCTACCATCATTCATCTTCCTGTTTCAAAGGGAACAAAGGGAATGACCACTCTGGAAGGTACCTTCAATTGCATCTCCTACAGGGAACAGTTTCTAGCCCTCAAAAGGAATCCTCA